CTCAAACTCAAGCTCTTTCTCCCGCCTCCTTTGCACAGGAAACTCACTTCAAAAGGGATTAGCGATCGGAGGTTACTCAGCGAACTGACCGTGACCAGCTGCATCGGTTTGACTGGCCAGGCAGACTTGAACTCTCCCTTCCTGAGTGGAGTGGCCAGAAAGGTCGAAACGAAAATGGTCTCCCCCAAAAAGGTTGAAAGTCCAGGAACTCAGGGAGTGAGTCTTGCGAATGCCTCTTTCAGCCGGCACAAGCAGCCAAACCAGATTCCGGATAAGATTACGGGCACAAAAAATTGCTGTGTTTCTGTTCAAGCGTTTACAAAACAAAAGCCCGGGTGGTATCTCCAACAGCCCCTGACCACTCCTTTTCCGTCCCTGAAAGCTGCCCCAAACCAGCCCAGAGCTTATCTGGGCAAAAAAACATAGCTTTCAGCTATTGGGCAACCAGGCGCCGACCACGGAAAGCACACCACATCAGCTGAGCACAGTCCCCTCTTGCGCCTTACCGACCTGGACCGGGTAATGTATGTACTCCATCCTGCGCAATGAATCGCCAGATCTCAGCTGCTTCGGCTTCGATGAGCTGAATTTTGGATCCGAACCCTGATCTCTTTAGCGCCCAAATCGGGGAAATGGTGCTTAAAGGGGGCGGTCGGATGCTTACGCGGGTAGCAAAACTGGTGGAATTACCACTTGTATAGCAGACTTATGACCATGCTCTTTGTGGGTTACAACCATGGTTGGTTATTGCCCACTTACTAAGCGCAATGCCCTCTTAAGTCAGGATCAACTCTCGGAACACCTCCGAGCCACAAACGCAAACAGTTGAGCTGCTGAAGCCTCCGGGCGAACTCAAGGCCAATGGGGGCAAAACGGTTAAAGACGTCTAGGGGTCATTCAAAGGGAACCTTGAAAAACCACAAAAAGGCCAAAGTCCCCAAAGCCTCAGGGCCAAATCACCGGGCAAAACGACGACCCTTCGCAAAGTTTAGAAGTTGAGACGCTTTGCTGGGGGATGAAGGACAACCAGCATTTGCGAGAAGCATAGCCTGGCTGGGCGCAAAGATTGTCAACATCGCCCAGTCACATGATCTAAGAAGCGAAATTGTTGGTGGTCCTGATTCGCAGGGTTCCCAAAATTTGGATACATCACAAACCACCACAAGGGCTGCCTAACATCAATGAGCACAAGTGGTGCTTAAGCGGGCCCAAGGCCCAAAGGTATTCTTTAAAGGGGCGGCTTAGAACATACCAACCCCCCCTTCCCGGGGCCACACAAGCAGTATGCAGCTGAATGCGAAAACGTCTTCCAGGAGATAAGAAAATCAATCCCTGACTGGGCATGACGATAGGCATCTCAAATGCCCACTTTCCGAGTGGATGGCCCTGAAAAAGTTTATTTGCCATGGGCCTTCCCAAAAAGGATAAAGTCCAGGAACTCAGGAAGTGACAATTGCTGTCAACAAGTGTCAAGCAAGCCAAAGGAATCACAACCGTTGCCTTTCCGATCAAACGCCGCCCTGAAAAACTGACAATTGTGGCCACATGCTGGATATCTCAGTTCCGTGGTGGGTTCTAATGTGTGCGCTGTCATTTTATTTCATCGAAACGCCCAAACAAATCCAATGCACCCGTTTTGCTTTGCCTTGCGCTTTGGGAGGCTGCGCGTTGAGGCAGAGATGTGCCAAATCCGGGTGTTCAAGCCCAGAAGCGCCAAAATGGCACGTCTTTGCTACAATACGTAGCCTTACGAGGTGCTTTTCGGAAGGTTGCAGCCTGAAGCTAGTGCGTATAGGTCTATGAAGCTATGCTTTGGGGCAAACAAAGACGTGTCATTGATCTTTGGGCCATTCCGAAGCGTCGCCTGGCAAGCAGCGTGCCCCGTGAGAATTACATTGCGTGAGTGCTGTCTGAAATAGTGCACCCTTGAGGTGCATTCATTGTTTCGCAAGCGCGCTCAAAAGACTGCGTCCCCAACACTTACGCTTTCTTGCTTGACACAGCATGATTTTCCCCGGACAATGTCCGGGCAAATGCGCCAGGACTGCAAAGCTTCTGCTTTGCAGATGAGCCTGAACGCAAAGCAAATTTTTGCGAACCCCTTCTGCCAGCTTCGGTTTGTTGAACAAGAGTAAGCCCATAAGACCTTACTTAGTTTCTGGGCACCCAGAACTGATACACACTTTGTTGCTTGTAGGAACCCATTTTGGAGAGCATCTTTCAAGTCTCAAGTGGAAGACTTGTTTTGAACCGCTCACTTGCTAAGCCTGCCAAGGCACCCCTCTCCGTCGCTCCGTTCGCGACAAGTTCGCTATGCGAATTTCTGGGCCTGGGACCGGGAGGTGTGAACCGACGGCGCCCATGTTCAGAAAGGGCAGGAATTCAGGAAGTTCCATCCATGTCCATGTCCCCTGCTCAAACCTGACCCCGCCAACAAGGAAGCGCGCCTTTAAGTGGTAACCAAAGGGTAAAGTCTAGCATAGCTAAGTCGCCAAAGGGACATACGACGAGCACTGTCAGACGGTGGAGCGCCATGACCGGGTTCAACGCGTGGCACGAAGACTTGCCTGACCTGCCCAAAATTGCCCAAACATGTTGTTTGCCAAAATGTTCAACCGGAAATAGAAGGCTTTGGAAACCACAGCCTTTCAGCAGCGTTCAAGCGGGTCCCCTCTGCCTGGTACCTGAAAAAATCCCTAGAAGGCGATCAGTGCTTTGCCCTGGCAGCAACAAAACCAGTATCAAAAATCCCGGCGAGCACAATGGCAAAGTCTTCACGCTACAAGGTGCCAAACTGGTGCACGGCAACGTTGCTCGGTCGTAGACAGAAAAAACAAAATTATGCATTTCGACCCGCAGATCTTTCAAGCACAACAGCCATCCGGCTTCCTGCCATGTCAGGGACAAAATGGAGAAGCCTTCTCCACATACCTGGTTGAAATGGCAGTTTGAACTTCTTTGGCCCTTGCAAGGCACTCCCAGGCTCGGAATAAAACCAAATGGACATGTCGCAACTCAGCCCATATGGACCGACCATCACAGCAGCATTTGGAAGCTGCAAATGCAATTTTGCTTGAAAAACCTTGATGAAATTGCAGTATCTGGCAAACTGATTCCGGGGCCCGCGGGAGGCTTGCGTTTTGGAACCTCACCCCTGAACAAACATGTAATTTGGTGAACCGCCAAAAATCCTACGATGCCACCATATGCCACCTGCCAAATTCCTGGCCGGATTTTTTTCTCCGGGAAACCGTCATGTTGGGGCGGAGACGTCCCAGAGTTCCCCCCCAACGGTGCAGGAAGCCTGGGTTCGGACGTGTAAGCCCCGCCCCGCCATTCATTTATGGCAACCGGGGTTTCGGAAACCCGTGTCTGCAATGGTCGCTTTCCAGACCTCCGGGATAAAACCCTGAAAAGGTTTGTTTCGTTTGGCTCCAGCTACTGTGGATGGACGAAATCCTGCACCACCTCAGAAACCCTGGAATGATGATTCCCATGTAAATACTCACAAACAATGGTTTTTCGTGGTTTCAAAGTGGTGCAGGATTTCGTCCATCCACAGTATCACTAACCAAGAGCGGCCACAAAACAAAGAGTCTACAAACTGGAGAGCTTGGTTGTGAGAGAGTCGGGACAATATTGAAGGGGTGTGCTCTCGATAGATGGAAAAACACACATTTTGGACGACCCCACATTAATCTATCAGGTCGATACATCAGGGGTATACCGGGTTGCTCCGAAGACCCTAGCACATTTTTGGCCCCCTGGGAAAGGGACACCAATTGCGTATGGGTCAACATTAAACCAACAGGGGACCGCAGGTTTCAGTCCATGTTTCCATTCGCAAGGGTTCCATTTTGGGTACCTAGTTTTGACCCACAGCCAATTGTCTACTCTAGTGTTTTGATCATCTTTCACAGCTCGGCGCAACCCTGCTAAGTATTGTGCAGCTGGGTTTCCGGGCAGGGCGGCACGGCGCGCGAGTTGGCTTTTCCCGCGGCGAAAGCCCCAGCTTGAGCCAAAGTGTTTGTTCCACGGGGCATTTCGCATCCCCCCTGTCGCCAGCCTCAAGCTCACTGCTCAAATACTGCTTGCAGTTGCTCAAGGCATGACACAACAAATTCTCACAATCCCCTGCAAACTAACATGGGTTTCCCCCAAAGCGGATGCCGCAGATTCCTTAAAACCCGTGGATCGAAATTCGGCGTTCCATGTAAATCTGCCGGGGGGCAAGCCAAAAAGTCACAATGGATCGCTCAGGACACGACGAACCAACAATGACAACCTCTTGCACGTGAAGGGTTTCGAGACCTAAAAAGAAATGGGTCAACCAAACTGGGTTCCATATCCTTCCCCCTCTAGCAAGGCCCCACCAACACGAGCCTTTCAAAAGGCCATGGTTAAACACACCCAAAAAAGGGAGTTATAGAAGCTTTGCCAAACAATGTGAGTGAGCCGAACCTCCCATCTTCAGCCGAAGAATCAAGAAATTGCGGATTCCAGGCTCAATGGCACCTGGGGAAAGTAAAGCAAAAACAAACGCAAGCGCCCTCTTCACACAAGATCAATCGTGAAGATTCCATGGACAAAGGTGGTCACCACTCGTCAAACATCACACCTTTGGAAGGTCCAACGGACACCCACGTCCCATGAAAGCATAAACAAAAAAGCGCGCGGCGAGCCTCCAGGGGTGGAGCTGCCCGTTCCAAAATTAGCCGTTGCCCTGAGTTGAGTGGCCTTCCGCAGTGGTTGGGAAGAATGGGACAGCTACTCTCTTTCCACCAATGGATGTGGATCGGGTTCTGGCGGACCATCCTTGTAAAAAAAAAAACATGCCCCCAAACATCCGCCCATTTTCAGAGTGGGCTGGGCCTAAATACTAAACCATGGCCCTCAAAAAAGGGGCCTTCCCGACCAGTACCGATTGCAAAAAAAACACACCCAGTTCTAGGTCAGGCGGAAAGCTCGACGCCAGCGAAACAGCTGCCCAGCTCCCAGGCCTCCTGCGCAGGACCTGCAGGCCCTGGGGGGATGGAAAACCAGCTCCCTAGACTCCTCGTTTCGGGGGAGTTCTTTCGAAGTCTCTGGTAAATTGATTTTGTTTCCCGCAGTTGCAAAACATCCACATATCCGAATTTCTTGGACTTTGGCGGCGTTGCTTCCCCAGTGGGTCAGATGGAATCATGTGGAATCCAACCGCTACAACCGGCTTTCCAATTTCTCTCCGGTCTTCCTAGGCAATACAATTTGGAGGGTGGCAGCGGCATTGAGAATGCACGACGCATCGGTGAGGTGAATGTATAATATGAACGGATGAGGGAGAGCCAGATGCAGTTTCCACTGGATGCCTGAGGAATACCGTTTCGACTAAGTCGCCCCCGGCTGGTCAAAGCGCACTTGTGCTTCTGGGCCTTTCCCCCAGCCAGTCAGAAGCCCATGTGGATTGCTGGTGAGCCTTGCCTGCTCCAACACCAAACGCAAACGCAGCGAACATTTACCCAACTTCCATGTTTGGCTGGAGGGTAAAGCCCCTAGTCCGCAGAAGTGAGCCCGTAAGGCGAACCGGTCCCAAAAATCCCAGTTTGTGATGTCGACCCCAGATCTCGACCACAGACCCAGAGCATGGCGACAGAAAAAAAGGGGCGCTTTTCCTCTCGAAAGTGATCTGATCTCTAAACTGGGCTGAACATGGGCAGAACCACCTGATCTGCATCAATCCTGTAGCATCGCCTAGGGTATGTGGCAACTTGGAGAAGGTTGCAGAAGCACCCCTTCAACCATTTCCTACCCAAAGGCATTGTTTAGACGGTCGGATCATTGTTCCAAGGCTCTACCAAAAACTATGGCAAAATCAAATAAGCTCAGGCGATATCCCCAACAGCATGCGGTGCTCTTTTTGGTGTGGCACCACCCCGCAGCCCTCACAGAACCTCATGGAACCATCGTGGAACCCTGGTGGAACCCTCGTGGAACCTTACCTCAGGGCCGCCCCACACCACTCCGGAGCCTATCTGGGCTGAGACCCCAAAGCTTTCAGCTGTTGGGGAAAAACATATCTGCGCAGCATGTTGAAGTTCGTAAGGCCCATGCGTCATACAACTGTCCTCCGGCTGGCTAAGAGGGTACCAACCAATGTGGGTCCAACTTTCCACCCTCAACATTCGCTTCTCAGCTGTTGTGGATAAAACCTCCTGAACCCTCCTGAAGCCTTCACTTCAGCCCCGTTCCCTCCAGTGCTGCCTTCTTCTTTCACATGAAGGCTGGGTAGGGGCTGGTCCTGCTGCTTCACCAGCCAGGGCACCCGGGAGGCGCCTGCACCTTCGACACTTCCGCAACCAGGGACCCATGGGGAGGTGTCCCCTCTCCTCAAACGCTGCAATCTCAGTTGTTCAGTGACCCTGGAAAAAAAAGGAACCCTTTTTAGGGAAGACCATTTTTAGTGGGGCAGCCACCGAAAACAAAAAGGGGGAAAAACGGCGCCTCTGAGCAACTGAGCAATAACTCCGCTTCTTGTGGCCCTGAGTCAGTTTCACAAAACCACGCCCCACCCCTGAAAGTTGAAGCGACTTGGAAGTAAAGCTTCAGCTGAAATCTGGGGCCAAACCGCGCGGGGTGAACAAGGCGCTAAAGTTCTACGAAGGCCAAAAAAAACCTGCAGAAGCCAAAAAAGGCCTCAGCGTGGTCTGAACGAATCAAAAGCTCACCTCGTGTTGCAGGAGCTATCAGTTGGCCTTGTGGCCAAGGAGGGCACCCGAGCTTGGTGGTTGTTCCTTTGGACATCCCGGTGAAAAAGCCTCAAGCTGAGCAACCTGTAAAGGGTACCCTGCCAACAAGATATGCCATGCTTGCGGCGGGCATCCAAGGAAATCCAATGCTAAAGTGTGTGCCTAAGGAAGTATCTTGAGACAAGGCTTGGATCTGTCGCAAACTTGCGTGTGATGTGTGACCCAACCAGTTTGACCCTGGCTTGCTTTTTGACCACTGCTGTGGCAGTAATCATCGTGCGCTTTTGCAACGGTGACGGCATGGAACCCCCCACTCACCGAAGTATCGGACATGCGCGAGGATTCCAAGCCGCACATGCTAATGTGGGTTGGATCATCAGCTGTCGATTTAAAGAACCCAACAGCCCACTTAGCTTTTAAGGCCTGCGCACCAGATGAACCGCATTGGTGGGCTAGTAGGGCTAGGAGTTCGGCGCCGAGATGCGCTAAGACCTTTCGGATCCTTGACACACAGCCCATGAGAACTCCGCAAGCAAAGGCGGGCCACAATGAAAAACAAGGGTATCTTCAGACTGCAGTCCCAACCGGTGCTTTGATATGTCCTTTGAATTGGTAGACCTTTCGATCTTGACTCCGGGTTGGTTCAACCAGACTCACCTAGACCCGCGAACTCGTTCGCGGCCTCCGGGATCCTCCACCTGGGGGTATCCGAATCCTGGCCGAAAACCGCTTGGAAAGCCAGGCCGCCTCCCAGGGCAGGGGTCTGAGCCTGGGAAATTCTGAAGGGATCCCCAATCCAAATCTGCCATCCGTGCCCCAACAAGGGACATCACCGGATGGACAAGGGATCAAGGGTTCAAGTCCTGAGTGAGTGGGCCAAGACAGGGCTAAACTTGTCGTTTACCCTCAAAATGGTCTTCCAAAGAAGTATGAAGTTCAGGAACTCAGTTTGAAGAGCCAAAACAAGCTATATCGTGCAGTCTTCTTCTGAATCTCCATTCAGTCCTGCTGGTCTTGGACGCTGTCTGCCCATCCACTGCGAGCCTCAAACTCCGGTGTTCCACAAGCAAACGCTAAGTGACATGGCGGCTCCAGAATCCTCTCAAAGACAAAGCTTGGGCCCTGCAAATGGGGGAGGACAGCCAAAACCCCAGCCAGCATGCTTCAGAAGGGCTCGGAACGCTGTGACTGAAAGTCCTCCCTATGCTTAATGAGAACCTGCAAATGCACTCAAAAAGAAGTGTTACCTTCTTTGGACCAGTTCTGCTAACATATCTCTCTGATTCAAAACCCCCGCAAGACGGCATTCCGGTTAGCCGTTCGTGGAACCATTACTCAAGGGCCCCTTCCTGCGGGGATGATTTAAAAGGGAACCAACAGGAAACCACAATATTGGGGGGTCTTGCGTGGAAAGGCTCATTTTCTCATACAATGGCCATGCAGACTGATTGGATGAGTCACTCTCGCGTAGTACAGTTGTTTTTTTGGTCAACAACTTAAATATCCAACAGGCGTCGCTATGCTTCCTCGGTGGCATCACCCCACCTAAAAGGAAATGAACTTAAGCTGGGCTGTCCTCAGGTCAAAGCTAAACTATTAGCGGGTGAAATGGAAACCCCCACTAAACCCCCCAAAAAGAAAAATCTAAGGGGACGGCTGGGAAACACCAAGCTAAAATGGCCCAAAAGGTAATGTTTAAAAACCACTCAAAAACGATACATTGGAAGCAGACTTCGAAGCCTCACGCCTGAAACAAAGAGCATAGCCGGTTCAACCGGGCCATATTGGTCTTCTTCTAGCAGATCCATTTGGACGCAAGCCTATCCGCTGCAAGCATCCAGAAATCGTTGAGTCTGTGCCCCGTACATCTTATAGGCATCACAAGCCGCACAAAACAACACGATGCCGAGTCCCCTGCTCATTGCGCCCATCTGGTTGAACTGGCTGCCCATTTGGTTGATCTGACTGCCCATCTGGTTGATGCTGTTGGACAGCCCCACCAGGGCCGTCCCCGAACGCCTGACACACGTGCACGGATGTCCGTAAGGCCGCAACAAACCTGTCTTGACAGTTCGTGCTCTTTCGCTTGGTGCTGGAATAGGTGTGTATGTATGCATGCATGCATGTATGCATGTACGTATGCAAGCATGTGTGTTCACAATATATTTATATATGTATATATAAACAATGCATATTATACATGCATACATGTATACGTATATAACATATTTGTGTATAACATATATGTACACATAAAGATAGACGTATGCCACAATGCATGTAGGATGCGTGTGCGCACGTGTGAGTGCAGGATAGCTAGGCAAGCTTCCAAGGCAACGCGGCCCTGTGCATATCGCGGATGCGGGAGCCCGGGCCCCAGCCGTCAAGAAATGAAGGAAGGATGTGAGACTTGACAGCTTAGTTAGACTCACCGAGCATCTTGAAGCCCTGCAGGTTCAAACATTGAGTATATATGGTTGTGATTTTATGCCTGGCAGATTGGACACTTGGTTTCAAACAACTCGGACCTTTGATGGGGAACCCATGTAGGTAGCCAACAACTCGCTTTCCTCCTTTGCAGGGCTGTCCAAAATGGCGGATTTTCCACGCCTCTTTCGATGAGCGTCACAACGGGGACCTAATCCTTTGAAGAGTGTCTGTCGAAACCATGTGGAATCCAAAGCCATCGCCTATTCGCGTCGTTGGCCGCTCAGCAGAATTGATTCGCCACTTCTGTTCTGGGCGGTTCCGGGCGAGGCGTTCTTTCGACTGTCCTTCAAATCCGACTCCTCTGGCTCTGCCCAAAGGATAGGGGAAATAGAAGGTGAATCTTGTAGGATTTTGCCCAACTAGACTGAGCCGTCCAATTTCGAAACCCTTCCATTTTCTTCAGCCCCTGAAACAAAAAAACACATATTTGCAGTAGCGATAAACTCCCTTGAAAACCGACACAGGGGGAAATCAATCATCTTCTTAGGCCAATGGAAGAACCCACCTTCGGTCCAAAGGTCGACTTCCCCTCCACGCCATCGCCCGTCCGATGCTTGTCGCGCCTGGACACTGAGCCCTGCCAGCTGTCAGACCAGGGACCTGAAGCCGCGAAGGGGAAAAATACCGCCGCCCTTCCCCGCGTTGCGTCTTCTTTTTTCTTTTCTTTCGGGTGATCGAAGCTGGAAGTGCAAACCTCCGCAGAGATCCTTCCATTTTCCAATTCCAGGAGTTCTGGCGTAGGCCCTGCAAGGCCCACAGTGTTGCTCCGAGGAGCCAAGCGTGGGCAAAAACCTACCTGGAGCGAAGCGGAGCGCCTCAGGAAAAGATACAAATCGCACCCACACCCTTTTGGCCAGCCTCACTTCCTGCGTGGGCGAACCAATTGTTGCTTACCACTGACATGTTCTTTCCAAAAAGTATGAAGTCCAGAAACTTAGGGAGAACAAGTCATGGGTTGTTCTGGTTGGGATTGTGCAGGCACGACGGGTTTGGTGTGAAATGTTTTGCTGTGCCCTTTGCGGCAAGGGTCCTATGCCAAGCTGTTTAAGCAATAACTCTTCTGCTTCCAACGAGCTTCCGTGAGGGAAACTAAAGATAGTATCAGTTGCCCAGAACTAGCAGGGCACCTTGACCAACAAATGGCCCATGGACAACCAAAAGGTCAATGTTGGCTAGTTAGCCCCAAGCCCTTCAGAAGTCACTTGTTCTGACGCCAGGCGGGCTTAAGAACAAGTGGGGGCCAGCCGGAACAAGTGACCTGGTCACTTGCAACCACAAGGCCATGGTTTTGGGGCCTCCTCCTGGCGGGGGCGGCGGCACATCTTGGCCTACGCGCGAGTCGGCGCGAGGGGAACGAGGGAGGCCGAACTGCAGTGTAGCTCGCGTGAAATTCCAAGCAACCCTCCAGGTGACTAGCTGAGGAACTCGCAGATGTGTTTGTTTGTTGGTTGTTTGTTTGTTTGATCGTTATCTGCTTGGTGGTTGATTCCTTGCCCACTTTGTACCACCATTGTTCCGCCCAACAATGGGTGTTTCTCCTGTAGTTGACTTGTTTTTCTCCTGAAACATGGGAGGAAATGGGGATGTTGTCTCTTGAAGGGCAGGTTTGTCTCAAAATTACCTCCCCCCCCGAAACATGATCGTTGGCGTGTTGCTTTCCTGTTAAGCAGCCTCCAAAGATACAAACCCACGCTTCCCCCCATAATCAACAGCCACTAACAGCACACAAACACACATGTGTTGTTTTGTAGAAGCAATTACCGAGGGAAAAAGAACTCTCTTTAGGTTGGCCCACAGCCATGAGGAGATGTACCACACCACGCACAAGTTGCTCAACTCAGCACGCAAGGTTGGCCAATAGAGTATGCCAAAGACTTGCTGATTTGCCCCACGGTGTGCCAAACAAAATTGCATGAGGTCTGTTGCTCAAGGCTTACCATGGACAATATCATTCCTTCCATTTGCATAAGCCCCGCTGGAAGAAATGAGAATATATGTCCAGATCAAATATCTTCGTAAGCAAATGAAAGACCATAAGCACAAGGATGGAAACGCCCGCGCTTCATGAGGCGTGCGTTGCGGGCCATCTGAACCGAAAAATCACCGTACTGGGGCCCTGAGGACTCTGACGAAGCTTGAATGATGCTTCGCATCCGCTGTCTCATCTGAAAAACGCGCGGCCCCCTTCATACATCCTTCGTAGGAACATATTCTTCCGGGCAATGCTGGGGGCCGGGGCTGCATGCTTCATTCTATGGATCTAACTCTCATTGCTTACCCAGCCCAGCGAATTGCCCTGCGGGCCTGGTGAGGACGCCCTTGTGGTCAAGGGAAACCCAAAAAACAACTCACTTAGTCAGCCTTCAACCCTAACCTGCGATGCATGTGTTTGTCTTGGGCTGAAGAGCAAAGATGCAAGACGCCAGTTAGGGTGGAGATCCCACCACCTGCTTCCCTCAAACGACCCTTTGAATTGGCTTCCAGCCTTGCCAGCCAGTGGGCTGCCACGTGGACTGCGCCTCTGCATGGGACCGGGCCACCACGGATTGCTTCGCGGCATACTTCATTTCCCCACTCCCCAGTTGCAACCAGTGACCCTGGCAGAAAATGGAAACACTTCTGGATTTAACCAAGGAATGGTCAAGCAACCAATAAGCACTCGAAAAGGGGTGAAGTGCCCGTTACAGTAAGTAGTTGGGTTACGATCCACACTTGGGAAGGCACAACTAACCCGCCCGGCCATCAAATGCCGCTTTGGCAGAGTGAATAGGTACCAAGGATTCAGGGTGATTTGGTTGTTTCATCTAGGAAGACATGGTGAGTCCTGATCCCTTGTATAATTCATCTGAGAAAAAGTTTATCCCCTAACCCCGACCAAGGCACATATCTCATCTCGACATGGCTTCCACGCTGGGTCTATCTTTTTTCACCCCCAGTTGGCCCTTCCTCTGCACCCGTCTATGGGAGGGAACATTTCTGGGAACAGGTACCCATAGTCCCTCCCCACAATAGTCTGATCAGGTGCTAACATGGAACCTCAGATTCCAGACCGCCTCACTACCAACATGTTTCTTTCTGGGTGGCTGGTTTGGTACTTGTCAGGGGCAGCCCAACGTTCCAAGAAGATGACAAGGTCTTTAAACATGGGCGGACATGCTTCGCCGCCGTTCGGAAAGTTTGGGCCCCAAAGCATGGGTCAAACGTCATTCTGACAACCATTCGTCGAGTTTGGCCAAAATACGGACGCTTCCTCAAAAACCAAGGAAATAAGAACTGCAAAGAACGACAAAGCCAACATGTTTCAAAGGAATGGAGAAGACATGAGAAGACCATATAAAACAGGGTTGCTCCAAAATCCCCGGCACAAGGGTAGAACATGACCCTATTTCCCACCCTTGAGGTACTCACTGGCGCGGAGCATCTTGTGAAAACCATCCTCTGAAGCAAAGGGGCGGAAACCAACACGCCGAGCGCGCCTGCTCATTGATGGGCTGCAGCGAAGACCCGCCGAAGAACCGAGACCTCGGCTTTGGGATCCAACATGATCCACCCCCCCCGAACACCGCAATAGCCAAGGGGGAAGGGGGGTCCCATCTCAGGTAATGGTGTTCAATGATTCAAGGGCCGAGAGATCCAGCTGAGTAGAAAATGGAACTCGGAGAAAGGTGATCACCCTAACTTCAACACCGAGGTGACCTGTCGGGTTGCCTAAGCCTAAGATTCCGATGGACGAACCAGAACAGTTCAGGGCGGTTCTCATCGGCCGGAGGCGACCCCCCCAAATGTCATATATGATATGGGTTTGTCCCTTGCTCTTGCACCAGCCGGGTGACAGGGTACCACAAAAGAGCCACGGCAGAGGTAAAGAACCGGGTGGCACGATTTCTCTTATTTGTCCCTTACAACTAAGGGGCAGCGTCATTGCAACCCAGCTGTAACTGTCCTAAGTTGATCACAAGATTCCAACCCTCTCACACAACCTCCTCCCCCCATTTCCCCAAAATAGCTGGCTGGTGAATGGACACCTCATTTGCGACCCATCCCCAAGACTGTAAGGCCCCAAGGCATAGGGTGGGTGCCAGGTGTGCTCAACCACAAAGTCATGGACTGTGGCAAATCGAGACTCGGCGCAACCCGAGCCAGGGCACGTGAGGCCAGACCAGCTGGGTGCGGGCGCCCCCAGCTCAGGCGAGCCTGGGGCCCCAGGGGCAGCAGGCGGCGCTGGGGGAGCGATGCTTCCGCCCAAGGGGCTGCCGGGGCTAGGCCTGCAGCGAGGCACGGCGAGGTCACGAGAATCAGATGGGATGCCTACCACAATCTTCTCCATCAAGAAAACAAGAGGGAACCAGAAAATATAGGGATCCTACAAGCTTGATTCCTGTGTTTACTGTACATGGGATTCCCTGGCCTCTCACAGAAACTATCAAACCCAAAGTGCCCACTTTCCACATCCATGTCAGCCCCTTTAAGGGGATTTCCTTTCACCCAAAGCGGCGCGACCTGACATGGCCCCGGCCACGGGCCTGCCATAGCTCTGGGGCTGGGCACCCCAGGCCCCCGGCGCCGGCGGCGACGGGCGGCTGCTGAAGAAGGCCATCGGCCATGCGCGTCCCGCGCGTCCCGCGCGTCCCGCGCGTCGGCGGCGGTTCCCGGCGCCGAAGTGGGGGACGCGACGCGTTTTGGGCCAAGCTTCCTGAGAAAGTGGGGAATTCGAGCGGAAATCGGAAATTCGAGCCAAACACCCACCAAAAACATGGGATTTGGGTAAGGTCGTGGAGATTCCATCATGTGGATGAAATGCGGATGACATGCTGTTGGGCCAATGTGGCTAAAACTGAATCAAACTGGACAAAACCAAGTTGGCACGGTTTGTGGTCTCTGCCATTCTTGCGGTGGGCTGGATTTGGCACGTCTCTCTGCCTGTGAGAAAAAGCAAAAAAAAAAGCAAACAAACAAACAAACAAAAGAAACGCAAGGTCACATACCGGTGAGTTGTCAGAATTCATCAGCCAAGCCAAGAAATGACGTTCATGATGGGCGAAGGCCGGAAAAAGAAAAAACACATATCTGTGTGGTCGCTACCGTTTGCTCCGACCAATGATGTTGATAACATTGGCACTCCCACATGACCCGGCCGCTTTTTGAGCCAGGATTTGCCCGGGACGTGACAGTTGCAGGCATGAGTGTGCAAGATAGCCCTGGAGCAATGTCAAATGGACCCTCGTCAATGGACCCTTCATCCTATGACCTATGACCTTACACACCCCCTATGGGGTATGGTATGGACTGCTTCCTTAAAGGCTAAGGGGGGGGTTTCCCAAAGACTCCTTGACACCAAAGCGAGTCATGGGAATTGACTTTGACACTCCCAAGGGCCAAATAAAATGCCATGGGATCAACTGTACCAAGGGATATGATCAGGTGGTAAAGATACAGAACCTAGTCAATGTCTCACTATGCACGGTTTTGCTCATTTCAGTCCCCATTGCAAGCAGCGCTTTGCCTAGTCAAGAGCCTCTGTGAACCCGTCTGTCGCAGCAAGCCTCGGCCAAGGGCTAAGCCTAAGCCTGGTACCGAAGAAAGCTTTAGCACGCTTGCCCATGGATAAATCAGCATCACCCTCGCGGACCTGATGGCTGGCCACTGGCCACAAGACTTCTTTGGCACGATCAGCCGGGATGTGCCGTGTCCACTGGCAAGGCCTTGCTGAAAAGCACAAGGCCTATCTCACTTCCGAAGTGGATTGGTCAGAAAAAGTGCAGACTTGCTGTTGCATCCCACTAAACGGACCTCGCCCAAAAAGCTGTTTGAAGTTCAGAAAAAAACTGAGGATTTGCGCGTGGACAAGGCATCCAGCGAGTTGACACGCTCATTCCTCAGGCCCCTTTTCTCCCGCAAAAAACCGCAAAAGCCCAACAAACAGCGCCTGGGAGCTGTCTCAGCTGATTGGCCCGAACAGGAGATGCTCCCATTCAACCTTTGTCAAGGTAGACGTCGCACCCCTGAAAAAACACCAACGGGGCCCAATACATGGTTTTGCCCTTGTGGTTTCGTTTTGAGGTTCCGAGCAACTCTTTTGACTGAACCACCTGAACCACTGCAGGAAAGCAGGTAAGACGTGCGGTGAATTTGACTTCAAATACCACCGAATGCATCCGCGGTGAGGGGCAAAGTGTCCTAACCAGTGGTATTGAATCATCTTCACAATCGAAAGATATAACACTTGGTTGCTGCTTCGACCCCTTAACTTTTTGTGGGCCCAATGGACAATCCAACCTGTTTCAACCAAACAGTTAAAGTCCAAAGATCCACCCAAAAAGCCATGAAGAAAACGACTACGACCTGGGCTCAGGCATGTCCTGGGTCAACATGTGCCAAACTGCTTGAAGAAAAAAGGTTCGCCAGGCGTCTCAAGCCCCACCTGGGAACCGCCCACTTCTGCGTCACCAAGAAAATCCCAGCCTTAGAGGTGCGCGGTAGGTGGATCCAGCTGCTGACCCCTTAGCGTGCTTCGTTGCTCCCTTGCTGCAGGGTCAACAAAAATGATGGATATGGGAGTAACGAGATTCATTTTGTCAACTTGTTAGATTGTGAGTATCCAAGCCATATGGATTTATCAGATATGGACATGCTATAAATCCATTAAAGTCAAAAAGCCTTAAGGCGTTGCTGGGAACCGCGGGATCCGCCAAGTTACCCAAATGGCTCTTAGACCCTTGAGCTGAACAAACCCCGATCCCGTTCGCCAACTCAGCAGGCAAAAGTGGTGTCGCCCTTCTGCGCGCTAGGCGAGTCTCAGACTCGGCCTACTTGTGCTCGATACTCTTAGGTGACGTCTACGTGGCAGTCTTTGGCCGGTGTCGCCACTTTATACCTTCATGTTTGAAGGGACAGCCTTGGTTTGATCACTGGTTGATCCTCAAAGGGAAAACCAACCCACTTTTCTCCACTGAGCTCACTGCCTCAGGATCCCTTCACATTTGCTCCACCATGTTCCGAGCACAAGCCGGGACGAAAGCGGTGGGTGAAAAGGCGCCTTCGTGTTGTCCCCCGTTGGCTGGATCTAGCATGACAACTCTGCAAGCAGTTGGCGCTTACCAAAAGCCTCCTGAAAACTCCCTCGGCCACCCGGAAAGGACTCACAAGCCTCTAGCAAAGCCCGAAGCGCCAGCAGAGGCATGCGCTCATGAGCGGGACAAGAGACCTGCGGCACACGGTGCTCCGAACTTCTCACAGCCCTCAGCAACCCCATTGATTTGCACCGGCTTGCAGTGGAGGCTTGCTGCGAACTCGTGGGAAACCTCTCGTTGTCCTCCTGAAGCAAAGAGATGCCCCCAGGGGTTCCGACTCCGTCGACTTGCTCAAGGAACCTGCCTCTTAAGGGGTCCTTGATTTGGGAAGGTCAAGGGCCACCGGATCCCTGGATAAAACCGAGCTCTTCATGCAACGAGGTCCTGCTGAGGTCCTTTCCCCAAACTGTGGGGGCCCATGGTAGCTCAGATGAGTAGGCTGCCCAAGGGCCAGCTTGTGGTTTACCATGCGGGGACCTTTTTCAACCCCAAACCTTCTCCAAAGTTCAATGCAAGGAAGGCTGGAGGGGACCCGGGTCCCCCAACATTTCCAGAAAGTCTGTGCCTTTTGGGGGGGGGGGTTCCCAAGCTTCCCTTTAAAACATCAACAGCGAGTCTGCAGCAAACTTGATGATCCAGCCCCTTTTTGTTTCGGGGGCGGGGGCGCAACGGAAGGGAAGCCAAACGGCAGGTACCCTCCAAACGGGCGCGGCGCTGCTTTCTGTATAACCGATGTCAAAAATTAACTTACCTGCTCTAACATTCAGCATGCCTTTGGAAGGAAATGGGGCCAAAACTGCTACACACACACAGTACTCTCGCATAATGTTGACCCTGGGGTTCGGGGGCCTTAAAAAGAAAGGCCTTTAGGAAGCGGCCGTGAACTGTGGGGAACGTTCTTTTTTTTGCAAGCTGGACGCTCTTAATTGGGGCGACTGTGCTTTCTTTGGCCGCATCAGTACCCAGTTGGCTTTGCGCGCTTTCTAAAGTTTCGAGAAAAAAATGAAAAAAACAAAACAATGTAGACATGGTCAAGGATTTCAATGCTCAAGATCTTCGACTTTATAGGATTTCTAGAAACATTGATCATGGGCTTAAATTGACAAGGCGTGAAAATGCCGTGAAATTGGTGTGAACGCCTTTTTTTTGCAGTGAAAGACCGTCAGGCGAAAAACCACACACATTCGTCCTGGCTGGCATTGTTTGCTGCTGGGTTTGACAAGGTCCTGCTGAATGGATGATTCGGGAAGACCATGATTGTTCCATTGAGGATGCAGAAATGTGCTGCTTTAACGTTGAGGCCTTCGCAAGTCCAGCTTAATGTGGAAAAGGCTTGTTGCTGACGATGTAAAGTTTGAATTCCCCATTCCCCAGCTAGTCAAACACAGGATGTTCATGTAACGGCCTTTGTTTAAAGAGCCTTTTACCCCCCAGGGTTGACTTGGTTTGATTATGAAGTACCCAAGACTCCGTTTCGATGTTTTAGGCCCGTGTAGCAATGCCTGTTGGCAAGGCAAGGATTGGGCAAGCTTGTCGGGACTACCCCCTAATCTGCAACAAATAGCAGACTCGAAAGACGATACCCACTTTGCTCGCCCAAAGAACCTGGGGGAAAAAAAACACTACTCTGTCGGAACTGTGATCTCACTTGCTGAGTTGATTGGACAATGAAACACAAAGCAAGTCCCAAACTTGTTGCTGACGACCCGTATGTTCTTCCCAACAAGTATGAACGTCAGGAACTCAGGGAGTGAGTTCATTGAACAAGGAAAGTGCGGCAACCAAAAAGTCAAAGGATCGGTTCTGGGCAACTCAATCTCAGAATCCATTGCTCGCATCAACCGTGGATATTTGTTTTTTCCCGGAAGCATTGCGAAGGGTTCTTCTTCTAAAAGCGGCTGCCAACTTCACCTGCCAACTTCTCATGCCAACTTGTCGAGAGTTACTTCACCTGCCAACTTCTCATGCCAACTTGTCGAGAGTTCTGCCAACTTCTCATGCCAACTTGTCGAGAGTTACTTCACCTGCCTACTTCTCATGTCAACTTTTTGAGAGTTACTTCACCTGCCAACTTCTCATGTCAACTTTTCGGCTGTTATCTCATTCTACTAAAAGCACAAGCTAATTTGTCGGGTGTTACTTCACTATCCTAAAAACACAAGCTAACTTTTCTGTTCTACCTTCACTTCTCGACTCTTAATTCTTCTTCTTTTTCTGGCGGGGGTAGGCCCGACAGGAGCTTACGAAACGCACCCCTCTGCGGAGATCGTGCGTGTCGAAGCGCTCTCGCTGTGGCGCCGTGCGAATTTGTCTTGACCGGCGAACCCTCTGCGGAGATCGTGCGTGTCGAAGCGCTCTCGCTGTGGCGCCGTGCGAACCCGCCCGATCGAATGCGAACCCTCTGCGGAGATCGTGCGTGTCGAAGCGCTCTCGCTGTGGCGCCGTGCGAATTTGTCTTGACGCGCGAACCCTCTGCGGAGATCGTGCGTGTCGAAGCGCTCTCGCTGTGGCGCCGTGCGAATTTGTCTTGACCTTGGCGAACCCTCTGCGGAGATCCTGCGTGTCGAAGCGCTCTCGCTGTGGCGCCGTGCGAATTTGTCTTGAGCCCGATGAACCCTCTGCGGGGATCGTGCGTGTCGGATCGCTCTCGCTGTGGCGCCGTGCGCATCTGTCTTGAGCCCGATGAACCCTCTGCGGAGATCGTGCGTGTCGAAGCGCTCTCGCTGTGGCGCCGTGCGATTTTCTTGCTCGCGAAACGGCTTTTGGAAGTTGTCTCGTGGTGTGCGCGCCTGCTTTCGCAATCCCGCGGTCCCGGGTTCGATTCCCCCCTGGTCCGCGGCAGCTCCGGCTTGAAAATCACAGCTTTTAAGTACAAACGTAGTACGCGGAGCGTGCTCCTGCAGCTCCGGCTGGAAAATCGCAACTTGTAAGTACAGACGTAGTATGCGGAGCGTGCTCCCGCAGCTCCGGCTGGAAAATCGCAACTTTTAAGTACAAACGTAGTACGCGGAGCACACTCCCGCAGCTCCGGCTGGAAAATCACAACTTTTAAGTACAAAAAATAGTACGCGAAGTACATTCCCACAGCTCCGGCAGCACTTGCTCAGAGCAACTTGCGCAGAGCAACTTGCGCAGAGCAACTTGCACAGAGCACTTGCACAAAGCACTTGCGGAGAGCAACTTGCACAGACCAACTCGCACAGAGCACATGCGCAAAGCGCTTGCACGGAGCAACTGGCGCAGAGCAACTTGCTCAGAGCACTTGCGCAGAGCAACTTGCATAGAGCGCTTGCGTGCAGCAGCTTGCAGAGAGGAACTTGCGCGCAGCAGCCTGGAAAGATGCAGCTTGCGCAGACCACTTTCGTGAGAACTCGCGCGGCGCAGTTCGTGCAAAGCACATTGCGCCGAGCAGACTCGCGCAGAGCCAACTTGCACAGAGCCAGTTGCGCAGAGCCACTCGCGAAAAGTAGCTTGCGTAGACCCAACTTTCACAGAGCCAAGCTGCGCAGCGCCATCTTGCACAGAGCTAAGTTGCGCGAGCGTGCTTTGCAGAAACTGTGGCCGTCGTGTAAGCTTTGCTATTGATTGCTCTTCCTTTTGCTTGTAATTCGTTTCGAGCTTTACGAGCTTTACTCTTCTTGTTTTAACGGATGTAAATATGTGGGATCGAGCACTGCCATGTTTCCTCTCGTAGGACGATGAGATGGAGCTCTCATGTGACCATACGCATTGAGCATCGCCGCGCGCGGACACGCTCGCCGCAGCGATGTAAAAAGGTGTCTCCGCGGCTGGATGAGCACCTGGGGAAAAATGCTTTCGGGCCAATCGTCCTCTAGTATTAACTAATTAAGTGGGATGCACGTGCTGTCCCCACATGCCATCCCGAAACCAACAGTAGACTTACCACAATGATTTTCAAACGGTGTATAGTGGATTGCGTACAGAGCCCTGCGGCACGTTTACGAAAGTGGGGTAGGGAGGAGGGTGAGGTGGACACACACAAGAGTCTTGAGAATTGAAGCATGTAAGAGGGGTGCCACTGCGGGCAAAATGGGGTACATATGGTACATAGCATACTCACATTGTCTATGTAGTGGAAGCAGACCCCATTCTCCCGGCTAGGGAGTTGAACCCATCCGAGAAAAACCCGGCAGGTTGTCAGCTCTGATCCGGTCCGGCCACGGGATTCCCTACGGGAATCCCGGCCTCAAACGCTGACCTCGTGGTGAGCTCCTGCTCAACCGAAGGGCCCAACCCCGTCGGCCAAGTGCTTGGCAACCTTTACCCCGGGTACGGCAGAGGCCTCAAAACCCAGATCAACATGGAACGAAGCATGGACCATCAGGGCTGATTTGCTTTTTGAACGAACTGCGTCATTTCACAAACACCGAGCCGACCCCACCAACAAAGCCCTGCACTTCACAGGTCTCTGCTTCTTAAGGGCCCCATACGAAGGTGTCGCCCTATCTTTAGGCACCCGTGGTTCTTTCCGCATTGCTTCTACGGGGGGGTCCGAGGGGGATCCTGTCACAATGCACATCCGTGCAACAAATTCAGCTCGAGAGATCTGTAAGCTCGGTTTGCCTCCCAAACAAGCTTCCCATAACACGTGCTCTCGCCAGGCAGACTTTAATCCAGGCGTGGGTGATTTTACCAAAAGGATGAACGAAATCCATTTCGCACCGCTTTGAAACCATGGTTGAAACCATGTTTGGTTGAAATTTACAGGGCAATCATTCCACGTGTCTGAGGTGGTCGCGCGAAATTGATTCGTTCATCCAGAGTAGGATTTCCTTGCCCCCCTCCCCCGATTCAATTTAAAGCATCCCAAATTTTTGGTTTGGTCCCAACGCCACACCATACGGGTACCACTCATATAACCACTTGAAACACCACTCCCACAGGAAAATATCCACTCACCTCGCAGGGGCCCGAAAGGTGATGCTTGAAACTCACTTTGTGCGTGAATGGGCCGAAAACCGTCTGCACTTCTCATTTTGCCACCAAAAAGGTCTTTCCAACAAGCTTCACGTCTGGGAACTCGGGGCGTGAGAAAACCAAACCAACAAGTGGCACGCCGGTCCTGGGGCTTCCGAGCTGCACATCTGCGCGGCGCCTGCCGGTTCTCGGCGGCTTTTTGCTTGGGCAGAAAGAATTCGGCGGGAAGAACAACTCGCTGCCCGAGGGGATGGCCCAAAAAAGGCTCCCAAACTCTTTGCTCACCAAAATGACCTCCCCACAGAGATCAAAGTCCAGGAGCTCAGGAAGTGAGAGGACTGGTTTCAACGAGGATCCCCACCAAAAAAGAGGACCGGTGGTGCGGTGGGGCGGGGGGGGGGGGGAAAAGACAAACATTGGCCTTGCTGTACTCATTGTCAGTTGGAGCCCGATTACTCAGTGGATCCGGAATGCACATGTCTGTTTGAGGGCGTTGGAAATCCAGGCACACTTTGCAAGGGGGGGACGTGGGAAACATAAACTGAATTAAACTAACGCATCTTTACTTGCAAAAACAGCCCACCCAGCCAGCTTTAAAAGCGGTATCAATGTCAGTTGGGCCACACATGATGGGGTGTTGGTAAAAGGTGGTTTCCTGGCCAAATGTTGGGCCGCAAGGCTGCAGCTCCTACTCATGCCTTCCCTTTGCAAACCCAGGCCTCACCTAAACGTTTCTTGTATACATTGCTCGTGGAGAGCAAAAACTCCGTCAGAGCTAGGCCCGCAACACCCCTGGAACCACACAATAACGACAGGTCTAAACGACAACCCGCGCCACTGCTCCACCCTTCTGGCCTTCCAAATGGCAACCTCACCAGCAAGAGCTTTGAGTCGTGCCTGCCAATCCCAGGCCTGAAAGTTGGAAGCGGGAGGGCCAAAATTTCGGTCGGGCCTGGAAGAACTCCCACAGCCACACACACACACACACCCTCGCCACCCACCAGCTACGTTCATCCGGACCTCGACATCTCGACCTTTTCTTGGTTGCTGCAACGACCCCTCTGCAAAAAGTGAACAATGCACTGTTTGGGTGATGATGGAAACACCAACTTGATTTCAACCAAAAGTTAAAAGTCTACTCAGACACCCTCTCCATCCACCAGCTGTTTACCTTCATCACTTGACATCTCGACCTTTTCAGCGAATCGACTCAAATCGACCTCCGAAAACGGATCGCCCTTTCAAATGCACGCCTTTGAGCAACCCGGAGGCGCAGGCCAGCAAGTTCGCCACGATGTCCACCCTCAGAATGTCCGATTTTTTCGGAGCCGTGGCCGAACTTGCCCCCCCCACCCCCTGAGAGAAAAAATCATTATGAGTACGCGGGTGCCGGTGAAAAATCGGCAGAAATGCAGGAAACCCCCACCAAAAACGTAGGTGTCCTTTTGGTAAAATAGATGGGTTTCCTGTGGTTTCCCTGGTAAATGGAATCAAACCAATCTAAACCAGTGCAACCTATCCATTTCTATCCAAATTATCCGATCAAGGGACTCCTGTGCGCAAAAAGCAAACTTGCAAAGTGCGCGGCCAGGCAGGAACCAATCAGCTGGAAAAGAGGTCGTTGCCAGGCTTTGATCAAACTTACAAAGCTCCTTACAAGCAAGCTCGTCAGCTTGCACGCGTTCGAGAGACGAACCGTCTGCTGCCCCCTTTAAAGTAGTTCTGGCTGGGTCTCTGAAAAGCTTGAATTAATTTGATTTGAAGGGGTAAGAGCAACAGAAGCACCCCAGAGAAACCAAAGATCTAACCACTAGCCCTAGACCCAGGCGCACTGCGATTTACAGACCAGGGTGTGGCAAGAGCTAGGCCCTGGCCCCCTTTGCAGAGAAACTAAAAGCCGTTTCAACAATAGCGCTTCAACGAGGGGTCACTGGATGTTGAATCTGCCACTTGTGGAGGTTCCAAAAAAGAAATTGTGGAAACCCTATCAACATGTTTGAAACACGGGGGCAACTCCGCCGTCATCATAAACGGTGCATGCCCCGGCTGGAGACCCATAGTCTTCGGGAACCGCGGCTCGGATCCAAGACGATGGGGCATAGGCAAACTCCTGCGACCTGATCTGGGCTTTTGCATTTACAAACTTCAGGAATTCATGGCCTTGGCTGCCAGCCTTTTGCCTTCCTTGGCGCCAGGCTTTGTGTAGGCTGGCAAGCCAGCAGTACACTTTGTTCATCTCTTCAGACATGATCAGAGTTTGGCCCAAAGTCGCAGAATGTGGTTCTTTTCGGTTGCTTCACTATGAGTCACTGGTGAAACGTAAAATGTATCCAAAGTTCACCTGAGTTCAGTTCGCGGGCTGCTGCTCAAAACAAAAAAACGGTGAGGATGCCTCAATATCATGAGCCCTGCTCCTTTAAGAGGCTTGGGACTTTGGACAATCCAACTGGGAAAGATGCGCCCAATCATTTCCCTTGCGTTTAAAGAAATGGCAAACAGGTTGGTCCAAGCTCCCAAGATCTAAAGGACACCGGACCAAGCTTCTATGAGGCTCGGAGCAACCCTGGAACATGCATCCGGAAGGCCCTTTATTCTGACTATGCCCCTCCATACGCTCAGTTCCTGACTGGCTGGGCCAACAAAGTCTAAGCTCTCGGTCTATCACTAAACGGGTCGTCCCAAACAGCTCAAAGTCTAGGAACTCAGGTAGTGAGTACGCGACTTTCGGGCGGAAATTTCGGGCCCCCGGGCTCTTCTGTCTTCGCCACCTCTTCCGTCTTCGCTGCCTGTGTCTGCGAATCCGTGGGCGGCGGCGGCAACGGCAGACTCGTCGCCGGCGCCGGGCGCTTCGTCTCCGGCGCGGCCGGCGTGCTGGCTGCCTGCCAAACGGAAGAACCGAGACGAAGAAACCTGGGGAGAGTAAGCCCAGACCTCCGGTGTCATACTGTGCATGGACGAAATCCTGCACAAGTTGAAACCATGGGAAACCATGTCTCTCCCTCTCTCTCTCTCTCTCTATCCCTGCCGTTGCATCCAGAGGGTCTTGACTCAGCAAGGCAACAAAAAAGGCACCCACCGATGTTCAGGGGCACCTACAACATGGGTTGGTATTCCATGCTGCCTTAGGTGGTGCAGGATTTCCTTCGTCCACAGTAGTGTTGGCAGCTTGCAAGGGGGGGGCCGCTTCAAAAGGTGGACAAAGGGCACTGGATCTTACCTTCCCAGTTCCCATGTCAAACAAAGCTGCTCTTGAGTCCTCCCCACACCATGCTAAGTTCAAGGGCATGTTCAGCTATAGTTCGTGGATGGATGTGCCACCAATACAAGCTTGTGAGACAGTATGTGCGCCTTACGTACGTGTATCGCCTGCATACCTCCAAATCGCATTCCTGATGCACGGCGTGGTTTAGACTTGAAGGTCTCTGTGGTCTTGCTTGCTCTGGAGTTGCCTTGCCTAGCTTTTGTTGGGAACGCAATCCAGGTTTCGAGTGTGGTAAGCTCATTCAAATGTGTGCAGAGCTCGGAAAACACCACGCCAAATGCGAACACGCAGAGTTTTGTTTGCGCGTAGCCACTATGCGCCGCCCATCTCCATTCGCGACTGGAAATGACTTTGAGGATGCAGCGTAGGTGCAGTCACCAGGCGATCTTGTCCCCTCATGCGGGTTGATTCCCCACCAGCAATACCGGGCATAGCCACAGATTTGTCGCCTCAGTCGCACAGCTTCAGTGCGCTGGACGACCACGACGCATTCTTTTCGCCGAAGGGCACAACGCAGCATTCCAAATGAAGAAGCAACAGGCCGCAGCCAACAATGCCAGAATTGTGTTTCGGCCCGCCTAACCCTTTGGGCCTTTACGGGGGGCGGGGGGGGGTGGTAGGGTCCCTGACTTTGAGGATGGTTGAAGAGGGCCTCTGTCTCTCTCTACATGGCCAGTGACTCACTGAGGGTCTCTGGGGTGTGGATCCAACGCGATCAACGCGACTTAGGCCATGCCTGACTCTGTCGAGATGCGCTGGAGGTTGCGCTGGGAGGGGCCTAGAGGCAGCCGAACGTGATTGGATCAGCCTGTTCGGCCAGGGCCGGCCAGACTTCCCCTGCAAAAAGCATATGGAAAGCCAAAAAGGCTAGAAGCTACAAAGGTAAGCCAAGTCCGGCATTGCAAAGAAGAAGCCAAAAAGACACCAACCAATTTGGGGGGTCCAAAGCCCATTCAACCTTGCGAGTTTTGGCATGGGTCATAGGTAAAGGCAAAAGGGAGATCATGTTAAGCGGCTGAAACACGCGGCTATCCCCCCAAAGCAAGGAATTCTATCGACAAAAGTCTGGAAACGAAAAAACACATTGGTGCACGCTTAGAACCAATCTTTTAGGAGTGGAGTCCAACTATGTTCAAGCAAGCTGATGGTGTTGACACGGGCCGCAAGCCAAAGAGCGGCCAACTGCTGCTTTTGGTTGGGGCCCTGCTGAGCTGCTACCCTTCACTGGGCTGTCCAAACCGATCCGCGAAAACATGAGAAAGACCTGAGGAACCCAACCACTAGATCCACTAAAGCCCACTCAACACCTCAGGAACCGGATGGCTGGTTGAACAGGGATCCTTACATTCTACGCCTGAACCTTGCCTTGTACATGGTGTTTTGTTTTTGTTTTTGCCTTTTTTTGGGGGGGTGGAAAAAGCCCACGTGTTTCAAATGGTTGCAACAGGTATCTTTCAAGGCGCCGCTGGTTGAAGCGCCCGGTCACCCCAATCGCCTCTCGGCTCGCTAGGGCTCCGTGCTGGGCTCTTGGCAGGGCTTGAGCTCTCAGAGGCATCCCTCAGAGGCTGCCGACAAACCGTGTCTCGGAGCCCGACGAACCAGCAAATCCCAGGTCCTCCAGTAGAGAGCTTAGAATAAGTTGGTACCCGTTTTTTTTTTTTTTTTTTTTTTTTTTTCTGTAGCCTATTTTAGTGGAACAAACCCCACTGTGGATGGACGAAATTCTGCACCTTGAAAATATGGTTGAAACCATTGTTTGCTTTGGTATTTACAAGGGGATCATCGTTCGAGGGTTTCTCAGGTGGTGCAGGATTTCGTCCATCCACAGTAGGTCCTCCAGTAGAGAGATTAGAATAACGGGACCCCTTTTTTTCCGCAGTCTATTTTAGTAGGGGAACCCTCCCCCCAAAAAGGGGGAAAAGGGCCTACTGGGGGACCTAGAATCTTAAAGGAATCTCCCTCCATTTTCGCCTTTTTTGGGGTATCCTCCCAGCGATTAGCATGGAACCTGACGTTTTGTTGGTCCTGGTTTGGACCATTTTCCTTGTAAAGGCACCCAGTTCCTGTCAGGTTCCATGTTATGTGGTGGGAGGGACCCTTTTTCAGGATCAGGGATTTATTCGTGCGGCCGTGGGATTCCAAGGCGGGGTCAACCTTAAAAAGTAAAACTCCTCGGCTTGATCCTCTACCGTCGTTCTACCCACGAGATGTAAAGTGTTTCCGGGTGCATGCACGATCCTACTGGAACAAACAAATTCCAAGACGGAACAGCAGGGATGCAAACCCAACCTTATATAGATGTCGATAGCACACACCTGGGTATTTGATTGCCACACAAACAGCTTGTCAAACAGGGACTCTTCTGACTTTTCTGGCTGGCATAAGCAGATGCAACCTTTGCCGAAAGCTCGGAAACTGAAATCCAAAATGCAGCAGTCAGTCAAATCGAACCCCTGGCTGGACATCATTTTCGCCTCCTCAGCTCGGAACAAAATTTGAGAATTGCAGTAGGCAGAGAAGGTTAGAGTGTTTCGCCTGCATCCCTACTCGTAAGACTTCCACCGAGACGCCTCTCGCCCATCTTGGCATGGAAGCCATGTTGTGCTTGACTGGGGAACCTCACGCAACATGGAGCCATGGTGGTGGAGTTTAAAGTCAGCCAACAAAGTCCAAACTCTACATTCACAACCAAATGGTCGTTCCAAAAAGTTTTGAAGTCCAGGAAGTCGGGAAGTGAGACAAGGACTGGTTTCAATGGTTGCTGAACTCATCATCGTCGTTTCTACTGGGCGTCCAGCAAACGGCGGTTGGGCATGGTGTGCGTCGGCACCGGCGGCGGCAGCAAGGATGGCCCGGACGCGCTGCTCTGGCAATGTGAAGGGGGTCGTTTGGTGGGCCCGTTGGGTGGGTCTACTAAAAGGGGCGATCGGGTACTTAGGAAGTGGGCAATAACCACGGTTACAACCCACTTACCATGGTTAGAAGTCTGCCAAGTGGGCTATGGGCTATAACCAGGTTTACTAACCACTTACTAACCACTCACTAACCCTGCCGCTTTAAG